CTGGTGTGTCATCGTCCCCCTTCCAATGACACACTGAAAAACTATAGGCCGAGACTGTGTGTATGTGTGTGTGTGTGTGTTCATGTGTGCTCGTGTGTGTCTGTGTCTGTGTCTGTGTTTTAGTTTGGCTGGGTTTTGTTTGTATGCCTTTTTGAGACAGGATGTTGCATTGCCCAGGCAGGCCTCAAACTTGCTTTGATGACCATGAACACCTGATCTTCCTGCCTCTACCTCCCCCCATTGTCCCACCTTGTGTTGTTTTTGCCGTGCCAGAGATACGGAAGCACACAGATCATTCGTGCCAGCCAAGTGCTCTACCAACTGAGCTTACCCACCCCCAGCCTGTGTCTTAGTTTTTACTCAAGAGGTTCTTTTGGTTGGTTGGGTTTTTTTGTTTTGTTTTGTTTGTTGTTTGTTTTTTGAAACAGGCTGTCTCTACATAGCATCCACTGTCCTGGAACTCACTATGTAGACCAGGCTGGACTTGAACTCATAGAGATCCTCCTGTGTCTGCTTCCCAAGTATTGGGATTAAAGGTGTGTGCCACCAGGTCCATCCTAAAAAATCTTTTAAGGAAAAAGAAGAAACTGAGAACTGACTCCATCATTTAACAAGTGTGTTCTGTATCTAGGTTTGGGTAAGAACACCCTAGGAGCACACAGTGGACCAAGGACGTGACTTCAGCCGGGTTAAGCTATCTGAAGAGGCTTCAGACTAGGGTCTGAGTCAGAAAACTTAGTGCCATTTAGTCCTGGAACAGCGATAAAATGAGAAGCTTCTAGAACATTCCCCATGGGCCTTGGGTAGCAGCTATGAAGTGTTCTGATTAATTACCAAGGGAGGGAAGAAAATGTGTATGTAATAAAATCAGAAATACTTTCTGTGGTGGGCTAGGAGGAACAGAGGCAGCGGGCTCCTGGGTCAGCCCTGCCCCAGGAAGTTCCTGTCTGGGCCATTTCCTGGGGTTTCAACCCACTGGAGCCCAGATGCAGTTTCTAAGGCCCTGGCAGTAGATTTTAATCAGGCAGTGGCCTGGAGGCTGGGGCTTTGCTCGGCACAGGCTTCCCCCAGGCCAGCAATTTTAACAATAACAGAACAATTAGCTAGAATAGAGTATTTCTTAAGCCTCATCAGGGCTTCTGTTTCTATGGTAATAGTTCTATAAAGTGGGTTCTAATAATCGTTATGATTCTGCTCTTGGGAAAACTGATGAACGGAGAGTCCCCGCCCCGCTTTTGGAACTGTATCAATATAGGAAAAATGGGAGAAGCTGGGTTTGGCTATGTCCTTCTCAACAAGCTCTGAGATCTTTTGCCAACCACAGCTTTAAACAGACCATTCTCAGTCTGCAGGAGATGTCTGCCTGTGAGGTTCCGCTCTTGCTGTAAAATTACAGAAGACTCCTGAGGCCCAAGAGGGCTGTGGTGGAATTGTCTTTCTTCCCTCTTCCTTCCAAGATACCTGCTTACCCCCAGACTCTCAGAGTAAAGGGGGAAACACGGTCAGCCTTCTGTATCCAAAGGGTCCCTGTTTGTAGATTAAATCACAGGTCAAAAATATTTGAAAAGATCTATGAAATAACTCTCACAGCTAAGGCTTAGGGAGCATTTCGGAAGAGGGGAGGAGAGGTTGTAAGAGCCAGAGGATCGGGGAGTTTGCCACGAGACCAAGTTACCTAGTCCTGTCAGGATCTATACCCCATGAAGTCTCACCAACATGACTGCCAAGTGTGAGCTGGACAAGGACACAGCAATAGACACGCCAAAGTGGGTGGGAAAACCCATGAAGCGAGGCCTCGACCCCACGCAAAGAACTACAGGCAAGAGGGTGGGAGGAAGTCTTCCCAGTGATGAGCACACCCATTGGTCATGACAACAAGTAATGGGGGAAGGCCACTAATCTGAAAGTGAACAAGGAGTATATGGGGAAGTTTGGAATGAGGAAAGGGAAGGCAGAGATGATGTCATTATAATGCAAAAAGAAAAGAAAATACTAGAAGGGAAAAGTGCACACAGGGAACATTAGAGGGAAAAGTGCACACAGGGAACATTAGAGGAAAAGTGCACACGGGGAACATTAGAGGAAAAGTGCACACGGGGAACATTAGAAGGAAAAGTGCACACGGGGACTTTTGAACATTTGAACTTTCCTTGCCCTTAATCCCTAAAAAGCAGTGTAACAGTTAATTTGCCCAGGATTACACTGAGAATGACTGACAGACAGCCCGTGGTGGGGAACAAGGTTTGCGCAATTATGACCTTTGACATAAGGGATTCGGGCGCCAGAAGAATTAGGTGTCTGTGTGGGTCCTGGGTCATTAGAAGCAAAGATCTGGGTCTTTGAAGCTGGAACAGCCCAGGGGCTTCTGTTGAAAATCCAGGTTCTTCTGTCCACAGGAAATGACAGGACCAGAAACACATGATTTGAAGTATAAACAGAGACCACTTATTAAGAAAGACAAAAATAAGTAAAAAAAAAAAAAAAAAAAAGATAAACACTCCAGAGAATAGGAGTGTGCTTGTGAGCTGAAGGAACAGCACGCACTCTAAAAGTCATGGGCCGTGAGCCATTCATTTATAAGACACCTACACTTCACTGTCTTGGAAACCGTGGGGACCAGAAGCCACTTGGGTGACCTTGAACTTGTGATCCTCCCGCCTCCACCAACTGTGTCCCCTTCCACCTACCGAGTGCCAAGATTACAGGCATGCATCATCACATCTAGATCGTGTGGTGGTAGGGATGGAGCCGATGACTTCCTGCACGCCAGGCAAGCCCTCTGCCTGGTAAGCCGCATCCCCAGCCCTGTGCTAACTGTCTCCAGCCTTACCGCATCTTTAAAGCCTTTGCTGATTTTACTTATCAATCTAGTCTCTCTTGCTATTTCCTCACGATGTCCTGGCATCTCTAACACTGGACTTTTGAAATCTTACCTTCCAATGCTCTTGCAGAGATAGATTTGTTCCATGTGGCCAAACATCACACTCCCACAGAACAGTAGAAAACTGGCCTGAACAAAGGTCCCTTTCCAAGTTGAAGGAGACCAGGAGAAATGCTGACAATCTCAACTTCATCAAATTGCTTTGCCAAAGACACAGACCAGCGTTACATGAAGGAAACTGCTGTCAAGATATGGACCCCAACAGTGGACACTGTAGCTTACAGGTGTCTGCAAATTGAATGGCCTCAAGATGTAAATGTATTGACTTGAGGCTTGGAAGACACATCACTGGGTAGGGGTGCCTGCTTTGTCACTATGAGGCAAAGTTCAAATCCCCCTGAAGCCTAGAACATGAAACGCCCACATAGTTGCAAACATATATAATCCCATCACTGTGTGGCACAGAGAAAGAGGGGCCACACACAGCCTATGCCTCAGGTCTCTTCATACTCATAGGTAGATAGATGCCAGTGCTCTCTCTCTCTCTCTCTCTCTCTCTCTCTCTCTCTCTCTCTCACACACACACACACACACACACACACACACACACACACACACAAACAAACACACACTGTCTTAGGGTTTCTATTGCTGTTAAGGGACACCATGACCACAGCGATTCTTATAAAGGAAAATATTTAATTGGGGTTACAGTTTCAGAGGTTCAGTCCATTGTCATCATGGTGGGACATGTGGCCTGCAGACAGACATGGGGCTGAGACTTAGCTGACATCTTGATCTGTAGGCAACAGGAAGTGAACTGTCACACTGGGTGTAGCTTGAGCATAGGAGACCTCAAAGCCCACTCCCCACAGTGACAAACTTCCTCCAATAAGGTCATAACTACTCCAACAAGGTCACACCTCCTAATAGTGCCACTCGCTATGAGCTGATGGGTCAATGACTTCAAACATACACTTGTACCAGACACATACAAACTAAAATATATTGATTCAATTACTAAGTCAATAATACCATTTCTTAGGTTTTAGGACCAATTTTTAGGAAAAGTAAAGATAGATTTAGAAAATTGAATATAAGTCTCTTTGATATTCATGAAAAGTTGTCACAATTTGGAGTGAGGTCTTGTGACACTATGTGTCTCTAGATTCCGTGGGACTTGGAAGGGCCAAAGGGGTTATTTTCTGCTTAAAGATTGTCTAAGTCTCAATTCATTCCTTGATAACAGATTTTTACATCTAAGGTTTATTTTACCTGTATGAGTGTTTTGCCCGAATGTATGTAAGCACACCGCATGCATGCTGGGAAGTGTGGATGGGTGTGAGCCCCCACGTGCAACAAAAGTGCTCTTATCCACTCAGGCGACTCTCCAGGCCCCTCCCCACTCCCAAAACAGTTTCAAAAGAGAACAAAACTATGGTCCACTCAGAAGACAGGGCTCAGAATTTCCTGAATGCCTGGTTTATGCATAACCTTCCTATTCTACCCTGACCAGGGGCAGAAGCAACAGGCATTAGCCTTTTCTCTCTCCTCTAAGCCCCGGATCTGAAGGTCTGTGAGTTTCCTAGGTTTAACCCCTAATATTTCACATGTCCACATGCATGCATGCGTGTGCGGGCACACACATATATGTGTATAACAATTCAAGGCAGACCTACAGACCCCACAGGGTCCCGAGGCCCATGCCAGTCCCGGGGTTGGGAGAGGGGGTGGTTGAGGAGAGGTTCCTTTCCATGCTTCCAACAGCCGTTAATTCTTAAACATTTATTGCCACAGGAACAAACTACCCCAGGCTGATCCTGGGAAACTGGAGGGTGCTGTGCTATACAGGCCAGGCTTATACAAATGCAAAATGAGTCTCATGGCACACCGGGAATCACAGTTTCAGAACTTGAAAATTTTTGAAAATCGTACTGTCCCATCTCTTTTGTAGAGGAACAGGTGACAGTGGGTCCGTGCAGTCACCAAGCCACGGGACTCACTGCCACACCCCACGTGGCCCTGGAGGGCATGGGATCTTTCCTCTGCTGTCAGTCGGCTCCTCCAGCTAAGTGAGAGGTCACATAGGGAGGGAGAGGGAGGGAGAGCCCAGGCTGAGTCAGCTCCATCACTCCTGACCCCAGTACCTCACGAAAGGCCAGATTCCTGTCTTTCTTCCTCCAGGGTCTCTGTGGAGCTGTCACAATCTTTGCTATTTAATGGGATGTGCTCCCAGAACACAGGAGACTAAGCATGCCTTCCTAGGAGTGCCCCAGAGATCTGTCCTGTGACTCTGCTTGAGGGTACATGTACCCAATCCCCCTTCCAGGGATTGAACCCATGACTTTGTGCATAGTAGATCACAATTCCACCGCTAAATCCTAATCTGGTTTCTCCACGCCACTCCTCTGTGTGTGCGTGTGTGTGTGTGCTGCGCGCGCACACACACACACACACACACACACACACAGGTGTACATGTGTGTGGAGACAGAGAAAGCTTGGAGCATCACGCCTCAGGAGACATCCACCTTGATTTTTGATCTGAGACTCATGGATGAAGCCTGTCTGTGACCCTCCTGTCTCTGCTTCCTCAGGCTTGGAATTACAAGCACATGCTTCCATACCGGCTTCTTTATGTGTGTTCTAAGATGGAACTGGGTTCCTCCAGCTTGTGGCAAGCACTTTACTGACTGAGCCATCTCTTCAGCCCCTGGCCCACTTTCTTGAAGCCTCATCCACAGCACAGGCAAAGGGTGGCCCCAGACCTTTTGTCTGTCCCCTGCAGCTTTTGTGTGGGCGGAGATAGTCACTCCTCCCTGGGTCTGTGGCTCTCACTATGGCTCTGACCCCTGCCTGCTTTTGCTTACTTTTGTTGCTGCTGATAGATTAGCCCTGAGATACCATAAAGCAGAACTCAAGCTGTGAGCAGGTGGAGCCCACCTTCGGAGGTAGTGGGGGTATCACACGGTCACAACACAACGTGGAGCCCACCTGTGGGGTACTGCATGCTCACAAGGGCCCTCCATGGAATTATCTTAAGTGTTGAAGCACTTTGTCCTGGTCACAGCTCTGTAGACAGACCCTGTCACTTTGTCTTGTCTTCAGATGCAAAGACTGAAGCCAGAGAAGGTGACACAGGCCTGGCTAGCTGAAGCCCTGTGCCCCAGACTTTCTACATGCAGGAGCTGTGCGCCCTCACCCCCAGGCCTGTGGTGTGGGGAGCATTCATCTGGGCAGTTGCCCCACTGACACAGCACTGAGTCACGGAGCAGAGATGGCTTTCTGAGATAGCACGTTGGTAGATGTGGAGATACAGTCTCGGGACTTGGCGCTATGGCGCCCGCCCGCCTCCTTCCGGGCTGCTTGACACTGGCTAATTTGTGTTTGGAGAGTGGCCGAGACTCTCCAGGGCTCCCACGGGCACTCCCTGGCCTTTTATGGATGGAAGGCTCTTATTAGCACTCGGGAAGTTGGAGTTTTCCTCCCAGGTGGGTTAATGCGTATTTGGAAATAAGAGGGTGAAAAGGAAGCACGGGAGTTGCGTACAGCCCAGCAGTTCTCTGCGCCACAGAACAATGGCCACTTATGGCCAGCAGGGAGGACCCTCTAGAGGCTGGGAAGAGACCTCTACAGTGTGGGCTGGAGACTGGGCCTGCTCATGGCTCATTAGCCCAGCGGCCGGGTGCCCAGAGGTTGTTGAAAAGAACAGGTGGCCCCCTCAGGAGCATCATTAAAATCCCTGCCATTTGCGCTTGGCTTTCAGGGACCATTGCCAAATTCTTGCCCTTGAAATAATGTTTCCAGGTCTTCCTATTTAGAGGATGAGGGACGCAAAGTGAAGGCCTAAAAGGAATGGCAAGTGAGAACGAAACCCAGAGGCCCCGACATGAGGAAGCAAATAACTAGAACCATGGCCAAGGTCATGAGGTCTAGCCAGCAGCACCCTCGGTTCCTCCCCACAAAATAACTAGAACCATGGCCAAGGTCATGAGGTCTAGCCAGCAGCACCCTCCTCGGTTCCTCCCCACAGCATCCTCTGCAGACATCTGGACAGCTGCGGATGCACGAGCATACCAAAGGACCTTACCCAGCTTGGGGACAGCCACACCAGGATGACTAGGTTGGGTTCCCCACCCCAAAAGCCACAGACACCCCAGGTGAAGAACAGTTTTAGCTAGTAGTATTCACAGGACTTTCCATCCACCCACCCTCGCCAGCAGGGCAGCCAGGCTTCGGGTTGAGCTGTGGGAGGCCAGGGGAACCTGACTCACTTGCCTCCTCTCCAACAGCGACATAGTTCTGGGAATGTGAGGCACATACTGAGCGACGGGACATTCCTGAGCTGGGGCTAGGAGCTGTAATAAGTCAACCGCCCACTTCCTCTCGACCTTAGAAGCGGGGGCTAACCAAAAACACTTGAACCTCGACCACCTTAGGGGAGGAAGGCCAGTGGCATGGGTCACCTCGCTGACTGCATTATCCTGCCACACAGCGGGCAGCAGACAGGTAAAGCAGCTGTCCCCTCCGCTTTCCACAAATAGGAAAGATGTCTCGCAGCTCAGGCATGTGATGTTGAGGACACACCTGTTTCATAACACATGCTCGCAGGGGATCTAGGAACGCGTCTCCTCTGGGGGTGGACATTGCTGGTGTTGGACATTAGAAGTCACAGACAAATGACTCCGTGGCCCTTTGACCTGTGGGTAAACATTTGAGCATCTGAATCCCAGGAAAACATTATTTATTAACAGAACACTGGATGGTACGCATGGCAAGCTTGTGGGGGCGGGCGGGGGCGGG